CATTATCTACACGAAAATATTGAGACATTTAACCAAATATGATAAAAAGTTGAATGTTGAAATGAACCCACAGCGCTTGATCTGCGCTTTCGAACAAGCCACAATAAATTCATTTGTTGATATTTTTTCAACAGCATGTCAAAATCAATGGCTGTTTCTTCCATTATGCTCAATTATTGTGGAGAAAAATCCAGGAAGTTGGTATGATGCATCATTTTGAAAAAACAAATGACAATAATAATGTAATATCGGAGATGTAACTTAGTCCATTATTTAGTCGTACAATCCTCGAGAATCCAATACCTCGAAAAGCATCGTCATGTTCTTGTTTTCGCTTTTCAGCTCTCGTTGTTTGTCCAGTATAACTGTTTATACACTCACAACAGTCATATATATCATCGTACGCAAGAGGTACGGACAATTATATTAAAGCTAATTAAGTATAAACTAATATGAGTCGAACTGAGAGAGAAGTGTTGATGGAACGAACTGAGAAAAAAAAATTCTGGGACGAATTGAGAAGTCAATTTGGGACGACCTGAGAATAAACCGTAATTTTCTATTCTAAATTTATTATAGTCACAATTGTACCAGACTGATCGAGATAGTTTATTTTAATCTGAGTAAAATAAATGACTTTACAAGAACTATTAGAATACTTTGTGTCAATGTAAGTTCAATCTTTGTTAAAATTATTTGACCCATTTGAGTTTCATTACATATTTTCTCGGATATATCATTTATTCTTAAGGAAAATTCAATTTCTATTGTAAAACTATTTTAAATAAGCTGAAAAGTTGTATGGTGTGATGCTTAAACACATTTTCTTTCTTTTTTAAAATGTGTTTATAGAAAAAGTCTACTTATCGAATATTCTGAATTACACTCTTGCAGACAACATGGAGAGAAGATACTGTCAGTTGAAGAGATGCGGTTGTTCCCGTTTTCGATTTAGAAGATGCACATCGCCATGTACTTTGACACGTCAACCAATGTTTAATCAACTATGACAACTGATGCTTTTCAATGACATGTTTCTTCCGATCAACAAAATTGAATGAATTTTACGCTTCGTATTGAGAGTGCGGCAGTTGAGAGTAGTAAGAATAAGTAAAAAAAAAATAACATTCATGTTGTTGCTGCAATTTAGTGTGAAAGTGGAAGTTTTTTAACTGTTTCGGGGCGCACTTTTATTTAGAATTGACGTAATGCGATTTACTGTATACTTGTCCAAGCTCCTATAAATAGAACATGTGCCGTGTAACGCTAAGAACGAAATGGTGCCTCACTGAGATGATCGAAAAGAGGACAATTTATAAAGCTGTAAATCTACTAGGTGGGACTAAGAAAATTGCGACAGAATGTGCGTATATGGTTGTATAAGAGATCGATCAAGTATTGGTTAATTGCTTTTGCAAAATTTACTAGTACTAGTTGTTCAATGACATTTAACACAATTCTCTCGTTACTGGAATACATTCCAAACTAGAGTTTTCATTCAAATTATGTTGTTTTGGATGCCATATGTGTTTCTTAGATTATGACAAATGCAAGCTGTTATTGATATCCCATTTATTTCCGTGTTAAGACAATTGACAATGAAGTCGAATTGGATAACACAGAAAATCATCTTAAATTAAATAAGAAGATTGTTTTTCATAAAGTTCGAACATAGTTTTAATTGTAAAGTAATTACGCACGTGAATATTAAAAATTTATCAAATGTTTGATGTGTACACACTTTGTGCATAGTACAGGATTCTGTTTATTCTTACTCAAGATGAAAATTTTGTTTTTGACTTACCGTAGTATTTGATCAACATACGAGTCATTTGTTAATAATAATGGATCTACACTGTTTTTTGGAAAAAAGTCATCTCTTAGTCTCTAAGAAAAAATACAGTACACAATGGATAAATAATAAAATTTGTTCTTTCTCTTGATGTTTATATCTTGCACAGGTAAGGATTCATTCTTTACATATTGTTGTCCATGAATAATATAAAGTTAACACTTCGTTAATTAGATCTTTTGAATGAATGCTTTTGAATGATTGCAATAGAATATTTAGAATATATTTATTAATAATCAGAGTATCTAGTGGGGTTCTTATGTTAGTACAATATCAGATTATATAACAATTTTATTAAACTTGAATTCATTTAATATTTCATCTATCGAGTTTAGGTCCAATGAATTTTATAAGTTCATAAGAAATCCGGTTTTTAATACATGAAATGGTCGTGTGATGAATTTTAAGAAAACCAAAAAATATCTCTCATCAGACGAAATTCCTGATAGCACTTTGCGGACTAGACCTAGCTAGATTTTGCTGGCTTGTTAAAAGAAAAATACTCAGGCTTACTCAGACATTGCTAACTGTACAGATTACTTGAATAAACAGCTGTGACTTTCATAAAACTGAGTAGCTGTGCATAAATAATAATTTATGTTTTTCTGAAATGATGGCTATCAAAAGATCTGATATAAACTGTGAATTACTTGTCTTTGGATTCACTGCATGAAGACATGTGTATGAAAAAATAATCCGCACAAAATTATTATGAAAGATAAATGTTTTTTATATAGGAAAGAGCTACTGTGATTTTTATCCTGTTTCGTTCAAGTACCTAGAGGAGGGAATTTCAATGTTTATCGAACCCTATCTGTGCTTACAGCTTATATGTAAAAATAAAATATTCACTAGAATAGCTGAATTTTTTTGGCAAAAAGAATTTATAAAATAAGACTGGTGCACGTGGAGTAACTTGATCTCAAAACTTCACGATGATATACCTAGGTATATGCGTCAAAATTATTATACAGCTATACAATTAAATAGCTGTAAATCTCCGTAGTGATGATCATTTAAATGATCATTGGGCATAAATAGGTTAGGGATGTTTTGGTGTCGGTCAGACAGATTTGTTAAAAAATAACGAAACTTTGAGATCGAGACAGCAAGCAGCACAGTGGTCGTACAGACGGTGCATGCAGCTTTACGCAGTTTTGTTTGTTTTACGCAATTTGTTAATTTTACAAATAAATTATTTTTTGACAAAACTCAGGATAAGGACCCCCTAAGGAATTTTTTATCGAAAAAAAATCTCTTTTTAATTCGAGTTTTTTTAGTTTTATTAATATCTGACGCATAACAAGACCATATTATGCGAAAATAATCATTTTTTAACTCAAAAAAACGAGATATCTGCCCTGCTCTATGGAAAACTGCCCTTGGGACACACTTGGACAGGGAAACATATTTTGATGAAATGTGATAATGAAGGCATAGTACGCATTATTAATAAGAGAAGGAGTCGATGTCCAAGTATTATGAACCTATTAAGGAAGCTAACTTTGCTTAGTATGCAACATTCTTTCTTAGTCAAAGCACAGTGGATTCCAACTAAACAAAACACTCTTGTTGGTCCACTTTTTTAAGATTCAAGAATATTGACGGCTGGCTCCATATGTGGATCCAGCACCTACTGCAGTGCCACCAACGGGTCAATTAGTATATTTGTAACACAACATCTCCAATATCTGTTAGCTCATCTATTGCTTCTACGACGAAACAATCTTATGAATCAGGATTTCGAGTTTTTACGCGATTTGCTTTATTGGACGGACCGGATGACAGCTTAAAGACTTTACAAATTACGGAAGAACATTTAGCTCGCTTTATTAGTTATTGCTCTGTTTTAAAGATTAAATACACTACAATAAAACTTTATTTAGCAGCAGCTAGATATATAGCTATTAGTTCTCGTCATCCTGATCCAACTCGAGACCGTAGCGGAATTCCGTTAGAAAGAATACAATTGTTATTGAAAGGAGTAGCTAAAACTCAGACATCTGCAAACGATTACGCCTGCCAATCACTTTTGATATTCTCGAGAGATTATTCGTGAAATTAGAAGAATGCCCTTTCGGACCTTATTAGAGTATTTTTATTCAAACTGTTTGTGTCATCGCTTTTTTCGGATTTTTTCTTATCGGCGAATTAACTTCGGTTAATTTCGATTCAACATAAAACTTCTGTTTTGATGATGTTAGTATCGACAGTGCTGCAGGGAAAGCTATTATTCGATTAAAATCATCGAAGACTGATTCATTTAGACATGGTGTTGATGTTCAGTTATTTAACACAAAGCATAAAGTTTGTCGCGATATTTGCAACTACGTGAGATGGTTCCATATCATAGCGATTCGCTGTTCTTTGTCACTCACAACAACAAGCCACTCAGAAGGACACCTTTTATCGATAGACTCAAAGATACTTTAGGAATGTGTGGTTTGAATAGTAAAGCCTATTCCGGTCACTCATTTCGTATTGGTACGGCGACTACAGCAGCAAATTATGTATGTTATTCTGGATCACTTAATAATGGCATTAGGTCGATGGAATTTCCTGTCATACTGTCGCTACATACTTATGAATGAAATCTTCTTACGTAATGCACTATCCTTTCTAACATTTAACTAGTTTTCATTTTGGGGGCATTCAAAGTCACTCGTCGCGTCATTGCGTTTTTGACCTCTTCAGGCTAGCCAAAACCGCTCACTTTTGCAGTAGATTTCCGGTGTTTTATTGTAAGTGCTTTATGAATAAAAGTGCCACACAGCTAGGCAAAAATCGTTCTTCTATCTTAGCAGAAATTAGAGTATGAACAATAGTTTAAACGGTCTGTTCGAAACTAAAATGTTTTCGATAGATATAATTCTCGAAATGATAAAATTACGCTAAAGATCATAAAATCTTTCAGCTACTCTTTTGAAAAAGAGTAGCTGAAAGGTTTTATGATCTAAATTTTAACTTAAAGAAGTAGTAATACTATTCAATAGTATTACTACTTCTTTAAGTTAAAATTTTAATTGCAATAAAATTTTTAGTTTTACGAACGTTAGATAGAATAATTGAACACTAGAAATAGAGAGTCTTCATATATAAGAGGATAAAACTAAAATATCTAAGTGAGTTATAGGCGGCAGAATCTTGTTTACACTTGTATTGTTTGTCTTCTGGCAATCAATGATTTATGTTCTTTTGTTTGTCTATCATCTCCGATTGTAATAATATTTGGATTTGAATTTAATCGTGTCCTATTTTGTAGACCATTTGATAATAATTGTGGTGTATAATTCATAAAATATCTTTCACGGTATGTTTTACTCGTTTTTTTCGGACTAATAAAAATAGGTGCTATTGAGACAATATTGGGTTTTACGGTTGAAGCACGTTTCATCGTTTTATAATTTTGTGCAACGTCATATTTTTCAATTTGTTTATAAAATATGGGATTTGCTGATTGTGGTACTTGTGAATCAGACAATCGTAAACGTGGATATTTATTTTGACGATATTTTTCAGCAAAATCGGTCATATCACGAAAATAGTACGGTGTAACAGGGTGTGTATGAAACGCTGATGATAATTGATCAAAATATTCATCGTCGGTCATCATTTTATTATCCTGGACTAATGTTTGAGACGGATTTATTTTCACTTTTTTCTCATTAATTAATTTTTCTACATCTTTTTCGTTGACATTGACGAGATACCGTTGTATAGCTAATGCATAGAAACGTGATTCTGGCAATGGTGTAGATTGACGTTTTTGAGTATTCGATATTTTCACTTCTGTACAATCGGAACACAATTTTGATTCGAGCGAATCACACGGTTCATGAGAAATTTTTTTGTCTAATGGAGAGTAACTACGATCACATCGTGAGTCAGTTGAGGTACTCAGTGAACGAGTATGATAATCCGGTTTTAGTTTGATACTGTTAAGTGTTTCCGATAAACGTTGACAATCAGATTTTGTATTTGATTGTGTAGCAGACGGTACTCGACTTGAGTGTACAGAATTCGTCACAGATAATAGTCGTTCTGCATTCAGCTCTTTCAAAGAGGAATTATCGGTAATTTTTAACAAATCACTGGAATGCTTAGTTTGCAGTGAAGAAAGAACTTTAAATTGAGAAGCATATTGCTTAGGAATAGGCTAAAAAAATCGAAAAAAAGAAACGGTGAAGAACATCATAATAAAATAATGGCACACTAACCCAAGGCACAGTGTGCAACAACGTGGACATTAGGGGAAATAACGAAAGTGAGTTTTTCCAGGAGTCAATTAGTGACCAATATGCATTACAAAATGCCCGATTTAATGATGAAAAAATTTTGATCTAAGTACTTAATTTCGCCGAGAAAAGTAGGTCGTGATTTTTAGTAGTTTTTGCGCATTTCGTTGGAAAAAATGTTTTTTTACGGCGGAAGAACGCAAACATAAAAACATAAAACTGATATATTGTGAAAGAGGATGAGTTAGGCTATCGATTCATAAAAAATTTTTTGGAATTAGCCGGTTTTTGGCCGAAGAATTGTTTATTTTTTTCTTTGGTAGGGACTTCCGAAAGCGATGCGTTTGGGAAAGTGAGCGCTCCCTCCACATCCCCGCTCCATTTTCGATGAAAATTTCAGCAGTTGTTCCTCTATATGTGGTACGTCTATAGGAAATGCGCAAATGCTTCTAAGCGGTGTTGCAGACTTTACAAAATACGTCAGTTTTCAGCGGTTTTTCGAGATTTTTTGCATTTTATGATACTCTAAGTGAAAAAATAAGGACATATTCGAAATCAGCGTAAAAAACTGCATCGAATGGCCTATAATTCATTGGGTTTTGAACATATATTTTTGAATCTTATCGAATTCTTAGATCTTGGAATCGGCACGTAGAATTTTTTGCCCGAAAATTTAATAGTCAAGATTTAAAATCATGAACGCTTCTGAAATATTTTTCTATAGGTTTTCAGCGATGCTCTTTCCAATGGAATGGTTTTTGAATTCTGATAAAGTTTTTGAAGTGAAAATCTATAGAAAACCTATAGAAAAATGGTTTAGATACGTTTGGACTGCTTTCAAAACTCATGTCCGCGTGCTTAGTCAAAATTGCCCACTGTGCAAGGGGGAAAAGGCGGCTCCAGGAGCTTTCCGGGGCCATTGAAATGCTTTCTGATGCTTGAGATGCTCAGCATCCGATGCAGAGCGATGCTCTCCGATGCAGACGGATGCTCTCCGATGTTAAGAAAGAAAAAAATCGCCTTTTCCCCCTTGTACTAACCTGTTTTGATGGTAGAACGTTGAATTGTTTTCTTGTTGCTGATAGAGCATGACTTTTTCTTGGTATTAGTCGTTTAGCTGATTTTGATGTATCAATAATTGTTAAAATTTCTCGTGACGGATTATCTGTTACACAACTCAAATATATTTGCTGATCGCATTGATAATCGGTATTTCTACCTGATGTATCTAAGCTTTGAATACACCATTTTGTATTAACATTTCCACTTAAAGATCTTGATGATGTTAACTTTTTTAATTTATCTGCCTGTCCCATATATTTGATACGTGTTTATACTTAATTGATCTACACAAAGAAAATATGCCAATACAATTTGAAGTTCAATAAGTTTTTAATACTTTTTTCATCCTCATACTATTTCCTTAGTGTAAAGAAGGGAAAAGAAGAAAAATTATTTTCTAAAGGTACGAATGTGCGTGAAGAATGAGTTAAACAATTTGATCATATGTGTGTATATTTATTTTGATACAATTATTTCTTAAATTGAGAGGGGGAGGTTGAAAGAAAAGAAAAATGTTAACTTGAAAAATGATAGGAATATAATCGCGAATACTTGAAAAAGAAAATTTTAGTTCATTAGTAAAAACAGAAAAGAAAAGATGAAAAGAATGAGAAAGTTCTATACAGCATCAATAAGCAACCAAACAAAAAAAAACAACAAGCTTAGTACAGCTTCTTACATTCACTTACTTTATTGACATTTGATGACAAACAGATATATTAAAAGTGAAAAAAAGAAAATGTCTTTTTGTTTTTCCATAACTTATACGTTGTTTTTGAGAAAATCTATATCATCATCGGCTATAAGTGATGCCTATCACGGATGATGTCGATCTTAGAGACGTCCCACTAATCTCTCAATGATACTTTAAGTTTCATTTTTTTGTCTCAATATTCATGTTATCTATCATCATATGATTTTCTTTTTTTTCACTTGAATAATAATAAATGATTTATGTTCATAAAATTGGTTTCTTCTACGTGATATAAATCTTCCTTTAACGAGTGAATGAGAGATAATGTCCCTCTCAGTAATTTGGCTTACATCTCTGTGATTTTGTAAATGATTCTCCAATTAGTTCTCTACAAAAATTATATGAAAAGATTTTATGTACCATAAAAGTAAGAGAATAAGTCAAATACTCTCACTCTCTCACCCCCAAAACGCAGTTTTTCAATTTTAGTCTCTTATATTTTGCAATATAGAATGAGAGAAGATAACCATTGTGTAGCCCTTAAAAAGCTATATTAATTGGCCATATTTGTTTTTTATATAAACTTTATTCAAAATAATAATACCAGCAAGAACACAGCCGAACTATTGCTCATTATAACATTCTTACTTTGCGACAAAATGTTGAATGATGAATTAGATTCCTGAGAAAACTCGTCATAATTTGAAACGGTTACGGAAGAATTTTTTTTTGTTTTGTTAAATTTATTAAAAGTCATGGTTTTCAAACCGCAATTTTGAGGACATTTGGAAAATTTTTATAAATTGATAATAATTTCATAAAGGAAAAGATTAATTGTATGAGTTCAACAATAAATTGATCAAAATCAATTTTGGGGTCTCGTTAGTCTCATATTAAAACAAAATAATTCTTTTGTAGCTTCCGAACAGAGAAAGTTCGATTTCCAGTGACAAGGTAAAAAGATGAAAATTTTCTGTTTTGGGGAAATTTTACTAAAATCACTTTTTGTGATAGAAAACACATTCAGAGCGAAAGAAAGACGACACTTCGGAGCACCAGAATATACGCTTTATTTTCATTTTGATGCAAGGGACTGTGCTCAAAATAAGCGTTTTCTTATTATGCTTTGGATAAGAAAGTGATGAAGAGTGACACTTCGCAGTATTTGACTTATTCTTTTACTTTTACGGTACATAAAAAATTTTTCATATAATTTTTGTAGAAAACTAAATGGAAAATCATTTAGAAAACCAATCAGCTCAAAAGATTTACGCGGAGTACTCGCGAACTGTCACATTGCTTTTTCAGCCAAACCTAGTGGGTTATAGGTTATCAACTATGCTGAATCCGAATATCATAGTGCTAGCTGCCCATGTACCTTCAGAGAGCGATTTCCTGGAAAACCAGGTTTTCAGAAACTCTTAAAAGCAATCAAAACCTTTCTTAGCGATACATGATTGTAGGGCGCACATTTTTGATTAAAATGAGACATTTCCCAGCTCTACATGACCTTTCTTTGCAAAGTTATACAATTTACAAGGAAAGCCCTAAATGTCCATTGTTAGCTCAAAGCTATAGAAATAAGATTAATTTAGAGCTTTTCTTCTAAATTGTATAACTTTGCAAAGAAAGGTCATGTAGAGCTGGGAGATGTCTCATTTTAATCAGAAATGTGCGCGCTACAATCACGTCTAATTAAGAAAGATGATTTCGGTTACCTTTTAGAGTTTCTGAAAATCTAGTTTTACAGAAAACGGCTCTCTGGCGGTTCCTGGGCAGCTACCACTATGATATTCGGATTCAGCATAGTTGATAACCTATAATCCACTAGATTTGGCTGAAAAAGCTCTCCTCGTTAACGGACGCTGAGATATAAAACAAAATACTGAGAACAACACTATTCACCAATTACAGGCCCTTGCATCTATCCTGCAGCTTTTTCTAATCATATAATGTGTTAGATATATTCAAATAAACTTGGATCAAGTATACTAACATTCCATTTTCGTTTGCTGTTTAACACGGCTAAAACCATTTGTCATTTTCATTATTGTAAGTGTACGTTTTTATTAACAACATCATTTGACTTTTTTAAAAAGATGAAAAGAAAACAATTTTGTGTTATAAAGCGTCACTCATTTAGCGATAAAGAAAAAAAAGAATTGAATCGATTATATACTCTTGAAAAAAACCATCTGACAGACGTTAAATGAGTTGTTAAGACATCTTCTATTCAAATGTGAAATGTAGTTTCAATTACTCGTATTTCATTGAAAATGTCTCACTGATAAAGTCAGTTATCAGATGAATAAGTTTTCCTTGATTGCATGTTAAGTTCAGAATTAAAGCAAGTGTAAAGTATGATCGAACTGCACACAAGCTTGGTCGATTATGATTATGGATGCAAATATAACGCCGAAAGCCAATACATTTGACCGGAAAAAAAATAAAATTGGTTTTGAATTGCTGAAAAGTGCTTTTTCGCATTCAGCACACTCGATAATGCAGAAGATTTTCTATGTTTAGCGAGGTGTACTTCCAAAAGTTTAGGAAAATTTTTCAAACTAATATTATTTTCCGATGGAAATTTTTTGGTGCCATTTTATTTGAAAATTTTTCCTAAACTTTTGGAAGTACGCCTCGCTAAAAATAGAAAACCTTCTACATTATTGAGTGTGCTGAATACGAAAAAGCACTTTTCAGCAACTCAAAATCAACTTTGTTTTTTTTGTTTCGGTGATATGCCTTATGTGCAAAAAACAAAAACTTCACGGTGTGAAAACTCCGAAAATCATGAGTTTCCACTAGTAAAAGCTTTAAACCAATATTAAAGCTTGAAAATTTTTACCCATTTTTAGTATTTACAGGATAGGAGACAATGTGTAAAATTTTGACGCATTTTCTCAACTGAGCATAACCAACGTGACATTTATTACGCTTTATGACTAGTAGCTCTCTTGTACATAAAAGTTCCGCTGATCAAGATTTTATCAATGGAAGACTTCCCAAGAATCAGTGATCACTTGCGGAAAAGTCATTCATAGATCTTTGTTTCCATCTCGTATCTGTGATGACTTATAAGAACATGGTAGGTTTCTGTGATGGAGGCTACACATGCTCGTTTGCGCGATAACACTCGCAAACATCTGTTCAGATTAGTGCAGTTACTAATCATTCTGCACTGTTCATACTGGAAAAATAGACATGGAAATTTAATTGATCCTCTACCGAACAATGATGATCAAGATGCAAGTTAGCTAATCAATACTTCATAGAAGAAATGCCTCACTAGTCCATAAGCGATGGCTGTTTTTTGTGAAAGCATCCGTTTCTTTCATGTTGTTATCTCTTATTATATTCAGAAATCGAATTGAGTAATTTATTTGCCTTGAATTTTACTATTTAGGACTTACTAAGAAGTCGCTAGTGCTACCAGCTGGAGAATATGTTTAAAATATAGGAAGTTAGCCAAACAAGAGTTTGTATTTTTTTAATTTTTCACACTCCAGCAGACCTCAGGAATACCTTAGAATCACTTCTAGAGTACAATTCTTTTGTTATTATTTTAAGGCTTCACCTTGAAATAGACGATGTGGCCCTCATCTGGCAAAGTTTATGGTTTACGATTGTTTCGCAATATATTAACTGGATCAAGATGTGCCTTTTCGAGCTAAATATATCTACCAAGTCTTTCTACCCTTTTCACAGTGAGAATTTTGCGCTCGTCAAGCAGACATTATCGTTGTTTTTTTTCAGAAAACGCTTTTGTTTTATTGCTTTATTCCGACCAATTACGAATATCATTATTTTTTGCTTATAAAACATAAACTTGTTTGTTAAAACTATAAGATTCATATAGAAACCTTTGCCGTGGATGTATTAGATATGGGCAAATATTTTGGCATAGTTTAAAGTGAGATTCGAGAAAAATCCAAATTTTTTGAGAGAGCGATAGAAAAGTATTTTTATGAGAAAAGATAGTTCGAATAATAAACTTTATTATCTACTATTGAAAATTGAAATATCCTGACTATTACCTTTTTACTAAATATCGATATGCAGCGAGATCAACTAAATATCGCCAGTCGAGTTACACGTATATTATATTTGATTAGATATTAGATTGTGTGTTTCTTGTCTAGTTAACGGTGTTCAATATTCCAACAATTTATTCTTCCATTTCAGCGTACAGTAACGCATTTCATTACTAGAAAGAGCAAAAATTTCTGTGAACTAATATGATTGAACTTTTTAACCAGGCCGCAATTTTCTAATAGCTACTACTAAAATTTTCAAGAATGTAGAGCAATAAGCTCAATAAAAATGTAAATCATAAAAATCAAAAGTCTCGCTGTTCAGTCTATGAGAATAAATGTTTGCTTGGATCAGAAACTGTCTAAACATTTTTTTAGCACGAAATTTTGTAACAGAAAGTTCGAATCTTTGTTTGAGTAATGTCTTAACTACAATTGTTTATTCTGAAATGAAAAAGTTTATCTCTTTAAAAAACCGTCATTATTTTGTTAATTTGAACGTTTTGTACTCAAATCAACAACAACTTTTCAAGAAAAAAAAATTGAAAAAGTAAATGAGTTATTTTATATGTTCTGAACATAGTTACAAAAATATAATTTATATATACAAATCACTTTATGATCGATTAGATCGATGTATAAAAAAGAAGAAAAAAAAAGTAAGGCAATTGGAAAAATAAAGATCACATATAATCATCAGATTATTTTCTCTTTATAAAACGATATCATTTAGTCCGTTTTCTTCAAATACTTTTCGTCGTTCAACGGCGTGCGATGATGTCACCGAACCACCGTTTTTCGATGAATGATTAACAATCAAAAGTTTTTTTCGTTTATTTTTATCTGATGATAAATGAATAAAACCATCGAGATTATCCATTTGTCGAGATGTGCGTGAAATAATTGAACGATTTTGTAAGGATACTGATGGTTTATTTTCACATGTTAAATGTTCAAATACGGAAAAATTGTCTAAATGTAACATTTGAATGGCTGCCGATCGATAGACAGTCACACCAAGTATATAAAAAAAAAAATTCATACCCAATGCTGCTGTATTAAGTAATTCACATAGTCTTGAAAGTATTCGAAGTGTTAATATAAATTTAATATTGCATTTTGAATGAATAACAATGACTAGATATTGTGCAGATTGAGTTATAGCATGTGGAAAATACAGAATAAGAAAAATTACTGATACCATAGTGAGTGTACGTGTTAATTTTGATCGTAAATGTTCATTTTGGGTACCAACAATTTTTCGAGGTTGATGTAAACGATGTAAAATAGCTAAAATAATTATAAATAAAATATAAGAAAATAAATTATTAAATATTTTAAAATTTCATATACCTGCATTACTTGCTATAAGAATGATGGCTGGTATTAGTGTATAACAGAACATGTGAAACACATACGTATCCCATGTAATAACAAATGATCTTGTTTTACGATTGAGATGAGGTGCTATTCGACATTTACACTGTTGTTGTTGTTTTAATCCATCCGACTGTATATTATTGTTTAATACTTTTATTTCAATTATTGGTGTAGTAGTAGTAGTAATAGTAGTAGTAGTAGTAGTAAAGGATGAAATTGAAGATGTTATTGCAAAATCACTAATCGATGTCCAATTTGACGATTGTTCATAAGATACAAGCGATGGATTCTTTTCTAATATAATTTCATTTAATCTTTGAAATTGTTCAGCTGCATCTGGATTATTATTAAATAGTTCATTGTTTGAATTTGTATCATCAATAAGCAATACCGGAGTTTGTTGAGTAAAAATTTGACGTGGGGATGCATAGGCACTATGTCGATAACCCTTTGGACGACATGTCCATTCTAAAAATAAATAAAAAAATCATTTAAAAGAAAAAATTATTCAAAAATATTTCTATTCATATATATTTTATCTACCTTTATACAATAATTGTGGTAGATTAATTATCATTGATATTAATATTAAAATAAAAATAATTTGTTTTGCTCTTTTTGAATTACATATTTTTCGTGATAAATTTGGACATATACTTGTAAATGGATCACAGACTAATATTAAACGATCGAATGTAAGTACAGCTATTGTCCAACATGATACCAAAATAGTAACATGTTTAAAATATTCGTATAATTTACATACGATTGATACACGAAATGCAAGTATTGAATAATTGAGTGTGTACATTGTTAAATCATTGATAGTTTGAATAAATTCAATAAGTAAAACAAAAAAATCAAAACAGGCAAGTGAACGTAAATATTGAACAAATGATTGTGTTGATTGTGCGGTTGTACGATAGAGAACGAGAAAACATATTGTATTACCAACTAAACCAATTGAACCAAATAGTAGTGTACCTGAAGCAAAAAATCTATTGCTAGATAGTAGAAAAGGATACCTTATTATTTGTACCATTCAGTAAAATCGCTATCTAGAACTTAAATACGAACAAACGCAAATGAAGCAAATCAATGAAATAATACTATTTCTACTCCTAGTCACTAACTAAATAATTAGGTATCAGTTATTTTATAGAGACATTAAGTAAAATCTCGATACAAAATAAAAAGATGATTGTGAAACGGACTTCTCTATTCGGGATCCCGAAAGTTGCTCACGACGAAATGCGCACAGCGAATGTTATGCACGGGTAGGTTGCGCACGAAATATAAAATTCTTATTTATGCTTCAAAGGATATTAAATAAACAACGGAACAGGAAACAGAATAGTAATTATTGCCTCTTAAAAAAATAAGACACGCGACTACTTTTTAAACATCTTGAGAAAGAAATGTAGTAGAGAGTCTGAATTCTCTCTATTCAAAAGAAGGGACTTTGAAGTACATTTTTATAACAGATATCAATTCGAAAATAGGCTTTTAAAGTAAGTTTTTAAGGCGACCTTTAGAAAACCAGCTTATAGCTCAAAAACGTCATTTACGAATACTTTCATTTTTCTTCATGAACAGATAGCCCAAAGTGTTCTCTTTTCAAGCGAGACCTTAATTTTCAGTGGTTCGGACGTGGTATCCAATTTCCTTGGAGCCTTAGGACTGGTATCCAGTCACCGGATTCCGGTGACTTCAGATAGTCTTGAGATTGGATGAAACATACGTAATTGTTCATGTTGAATCTGATGGCAATGTTTGTTTTGAGAAAATAATTCCAAAACGGGATGAAAACGGAGATTTATCAGAATTTGTGTTTCCAGGCGGTCTTCACTTGATATTGAAATATTCACTGTTCACTCAAAAAGCACCAGAACGAGTTGGAAACCTCAGGATATGGTGAATGTTGTCCGATAAACGTGATTATAAGATTGAAAAATTCGAAGACGCTTATTTTTGTTAATAGATTTTCTAGTTCGGAAAATCCATAGTCATGTGCCTCATTTTTTTAACAGACAATAACTACTATTCTATTTCCTGTTTCTCTGTTTATTTATTATCCTTATAAGAATTTTTTTAATATGTGTGCAAGTTTTCGTGCGGATCGTTCTGTGCGCAACTTTCGTCGTGTGCATCTTTCGTATACCCTTCTATTCAAAGGTGAACTTTATAAATTTCTTTAATAAATCAATGTTTCCGCGAGTGCTCGTTATTATAGCAAATCATAACCAACTTCTGTTAACAAAGCAACTTTTCGAAATTAAACTATAGACGAACAGTAAATTGAGATTTTGTCAAGTAATTACAGGTTATAACCTTTGTTTTTTCTTTTCGATAAAATGGTTTTTACATAAGATGTATAGTTATCAACATCTAAATGATACTGTATCGATCATTCGCGTGGCAGACAGTCTATGTATTTTACTTCACGTTAAGCATATATAACTAGTTGCTGTTGTTTTCTTTTTGATTACTTTTCTTCTTTAATGCTTCTCATCTTCACACATATCCTCGACTTACTTTTTCAAAAATGCAAGAGTTTCTATTTTTTGATATCAAAGCACTCTGGAAAACTTAAACTTAAAACGTCCATTTTCTCAAAACTCGTTCAAATGTCCTTATGCTAAAGATAAAAATGTTCTCTACCATTTACTTTCTGTTAACTACTTAAATCGTGTTAAGTTTGTAAACAATCTCGATCAGAAAACCCTGGAAACAAATTATCCTTACAAAAATGAAAATTCATTATAGACTTTGAAGAAAGCAATATGACGTAAACTGAAATTCTCTTCTCTATTCTTTTTTAAAAATTCATATTTATTAAGAAATAGGAGATTTCACAACATGGCATATATAAAAATCGAAAAATAGTGTCAGCAAAAACCTAATGTTGTTGCTCGGTATTGTTACTTGTAATCAATTCCGCACAGATAGGACAAGTTCTTCTATAAAGAGTAATCGTCAATAAACATGAAGGATAAATAATTAATTCATCTTTGTGTGGGATTAACAACAAGTTCACCATGTAAAAACAAAATTAGGAAAATTTCATAAGATAAGGACAAAAATTTTTGAGGAAACTAGTTTCTATTACAGTAGAATTTATTCACTTTATTCATCATGATATTTCGATCTAATTGATCATTGTGAAATAGAAACTGTATATTTTCTATTCTCATGTGTACAAAACAGACAGAAAATAATATTTTTTCCGTTTTTTTTCTCATTTTTTAAGTTATATGTTTGATAATGATCGATTAAGTTAGTATAAAATCAAGAATTACTTAAAAAAAAAGACTTAAAGACTACTTACTACAGGGTGGCACATAACCTTTGTCTTCCCCTCTATAACCTAAAGTATCAATGATATCACAAATGTATTTTATATCAAACTAAAGCGTGTCTAAAACTGGATTTATTGGTACTAAATACTAAAGATTATGAAGGCCTTTTAATGTCGAACTTACGAAATTGTCAGAAATTCTATACTTTTTTGGCGTAGAAAATTAAGATGCCAGTAATTCAAAAATGGAGTAAAACGTTTTTCTTGGAAATTTTTACATGGTTCTATAGAGTTCAACGAGCTCTGCAAAACTGTCAGAAAAATTTTGAGCCATCTTTTTTGAAATAAAAAAATTCAAAAACCGGTTGGAAAATCGCAAAAAATGTTAAAAAACTCATTTTTTCCTGTGGAAGAAGACACTCGATTTTTCAATAAAATTAACTTCTCTCATTATTTTTTGCTACCTCACATGTTTCGAAATATACTCCTTTCATGCCGCGTAAAAAACTGCATCTATTAACTACACGTCGTAACGTGTGAGGTAGCAAAAAATAATGAGAGAAGTTAATTTTATTGAAAAATCGAGTGTCTTCTTCCACAGGA